CAGACCCAGTGCAGCCTCAACAAACAGAGAACCCGAGATTTTTTCGGGCACCTGTAACCTAAACACCCCTTCAAGCGCTGAAGCCTGAATTCCTACACCGCAGATCCCCTCAAACCCCCCAAAAGCCCTCAAACCCCTACACCCCCAGGCCCATGAAACCCAGGCTCACCTGGCGACTCTCTGCGCGCTCTCCACCCGCTTCTGCCAGAGGCGCGCCGCACCTTCAAAGCAAGCTCACGATTTACTTACTTGGGGTTTAGTATCGAATAAAGGAATCTTGTATGATGGGATTATATATTATACATACATTACTTATTCCGTACTAACCAAATCTAAGTTTAAAGGGCTTTGGGTAAAATCCTGGCCCTGTGAAGTGTTGTATGGAGATTATGATAGAGCGCGTATTCTATGTTTTTTATACGTATAATAAACCCCACAACCCATCATCCTTGACCACAAACAGCCACATCCCCCAACCCCCGAAGCACCCCAAAAGCTTCCTAGAAATGGCACCTGAGCGAATCTCCAAGCACCCCTGCAGCTCCTCCACGCATGAACGCCATGCCTGCAGCGCGTTTCCAAGCTCTGAAAGATTTGGAGGTCTACCGACATGTATCTGAGGGCGAATATTTATATCGATTTAGTATTTATGCATGTGTACCATATGTACAGTAAGAAACGAGAGATGTACACGGATGCATAACGGTTGCCACTTCCAATTTTTTGGGTGGCCTTCGCGATTCCCTCTACGGGAGGTGGTGAGAGGGGGAGGTGGCGGTGTGTGCGGGTGTGGGTTTGGGGGGGGTTAAGGCTCTTACCAAAATCCCAAGTACCTAGTTATCAGGTACTTGGACCCTTAGGGTCTTATGGTCTGAATTCACTGCCCACTTCTCAATTACTTTTACAAACATCACAAGTACGCAGTGCTTGGACCTGCTCGGTGGAATCATGCAGGCTGACTGCTTTCAACCCTAAACCCTAAACCCTAAACACCCTCCTAATGGACTCAAGGCATGCGATGCTGCTGCTTTCTTGCCATCTGAGTTTGTCAAGATCGTGTGTACGTTTGTAGGCGAAAAGTCCAGGGTCGCAAAAACAGGGGTTAGGGTTTAGGAAATGCGGTTCCAATAACAGGACAATATGATTCCGGCGATATGTGATCTCATGTTGGAGAAAAAATTTACTTGAGGCAGCTAGGCCAGAACATAAGTATGGGCAGTCATTGAGCGAATTACCATGGAATTTCTACATGCCCACTCCCAAACCCCACCAGGAGTTCGCGAAAATTTGGAGTCCCACTTTGGGGATCTCTTTTAAGCTGAGGAACTTTCACGGTTTAGCCAATTAGAGGTGTTCCAGACATGGAGGGGGGTCCAAAACAAACCCCAATATACTATAATCCTGATTATGATCAACCCCACGAAATGCGAGAATTCTGCGGATAAACCCCTGGCTTCACCAAAAGCTTGTAAACCCCTAAACCCTAAACCCTAAAACCTAAACACCTAAACCCTAGACCGCCAACCCTAACTTGTCCCCATATTCCGAGTTGAACCCGAAATCCTAAACTTGTCTCCGTATTGCAAAATTCTGAACCCTCAACCCTGGACCCTAAGCCCTAAACCCTGAACTTGTCCCCATATTGCAAGTTTCTGAACCCTGAAACCTAAACCCAGGGTTTAGGGTCGAGGGATTTAGGGTTCATTTAGGGTTTAGGGTCTAGAGATTTAGGGTTTAGGGCCTGGGGTCCAGGGATTTAGGGTTTAGGGCCTAGGGGTTTAGGGTTTGAGGGCCGAGGGGTGTAGGGTTTAGGGTCTAGGGATTTAGGGGTTAGGGTCTAGCGATTTAGGGTTTAGGGTCTGGGAATTTAGGGTTTAAGGTCTAGGGGTGTAGGGTTTAGGGTTTAAGGGCTAGATTTAGGGGTTAAGGGTTTAGGGCCTAAGGTTTACGGTTTGGGCGTCGGATTTAAGGACACGGGCTGAGGTGTAAAGGTTTAGGCTTTGGGTTTAGGGGTTAATTAAGTAACTGGTTGGCAAGGATGCATCATCTTTTTGGGGGTTTTGGGGTTAAGGGTTTAGGGGAGGGTACAGGCCCTAAATACTCTTTTTCCAACGTCGAAACTCGTAAAAAATCACTGCATCCCATACCCAAAGGCCGTGCTTCTTTTGGGCTTTCATGCTAGCTTGCAGGGTAAAAAGTACCTGCCTAGGTGAACCCCAAATAGGACAAGCCCCGGAGAAGGACCCTTAGAAGGGAACCCACGGGTTTCTCTCAAGGTGTGTTATCTAGGGGCCCGTAGGAATCTACCTGAACCCACAACTTCACCAACAACGCTGTATAATCCCAGTTTCCGTATTCTCCTTCTCTTGGTTCTTCGTTGTTGGGGCAATATCCCCAAACCCTATACCCTTAACTCCTACCAAAAACCCTAAATATTCGACCCTGAACGGATTGAGGTACATCCTCAACCCCTGCACAATCCTGGTACGCTTTATCTAGGTTGTCGGTTGCGCTCCGCCTCAGAGATTTAGGGCCTGTAGGAACCCACGAACTAATTGACAAGAACATCCTTGAAGAGTCTGCTGCCGTCGAGATCACCCCAGCTGACTACGGATCCGTAGTCACCCGGGGTCATCCGACAATGGGTGGTGACAGCAGTGGCGTGCAGGAGCAGCTGAAGAACGTGCTGCAGATCGTGGTGACAGCAGTGGTGTCCAGGAGCAGCTCAAGAACGTGCATCACATCCAAACAGCTGAACGTGCATTTGCTGCTGTCCTGGGCAATGGATCCATTGTCCAAAACATCTGCAAATGCATGTCCAGCTGCCTGGATGTCCTGCACGTTCTTGAGCTGCTCCTGCACACCACTGCTGTCACCACGCAAATTCGGATAACCCCAGGTGACCACGGATCCATCGTCCAGAACAGCAGCAAATGCACGTTGAGCTGACTGGATGTGCCGCACGTTCTTCAGCTGCTCCTGGACACTACTGCTGTCAGCACCAAGCCAAGCATCACCCCAGGTGACTACGGATCCATCGTCCAGAACAGCAGCAAATGCATGTCTAGCTGACTGGATGGGCGGCACGTTCTTCAGCTGCTCCTGGACACTACTGCTGTCACCACCATACTGTGGGTCACCCCACGTGACCACGGATCCATCCCCTTGCAAAGCAAAACTTGTGGCTTGCCAGGCGGGTCTGCCTCACTTGGAGGGTCAGACTATCTCCTGATTTCAGTCCGGCTGCACCTACCGTCTGGCAATCATCCAGGATACGCCCATGCAAATCGCGTAGGACACCTATGCTAGTCTGCAACGCACTCTGAGCCTCAAGCTTGACACGTTTAAGCGGGCGATCCATAGTGACTGGGACCTGCGCAATCCTTCCACTCATCAGGGCCACGTTGATATAATCGGATGCCATGGCGTCAGTGGCACATAGGAGTTTGAGCTTGGGGGTTGAAAAGCTCGTGCTGGGCTGAGATTCCTTCGACTTAGATGTGCCGTTGGTGTGGAATTGGACGACAAACGTTGTAGGTAAAGTAGCAGTGCTAACTGAACCTGTCAACCTTCATGCCTGCAAAGCTTTGTCTATGCCCGACAGCTGGTGACCAGTTGAGGCTCGCCGCACGCAGTTTGTGAACATGCCTTTTCATTCGTTTTCTGCTGCGCTTCTTTCTAGCTGGAGAAGCAAAGGAGGGCATGCTGCCGTCACACTGGAGATCAAAGTTTTGCCGCCGTATCCTGTCTCCAAAAGAGCGGCGGGCAGCAAAAACGAAGAATCTCAGATGCGTCAGTAGCACAAATGCCCAGCACAGCAACCCAACCCCGGGGGCCAGAAAACCATGCTGCACAAATTTTGTCAGTGTGTCCTCTTATAAAGGATTGAGGCTAGGGCCGAAACAACAGGGGCACAGATTTCACAGCTGCGCACTGTCCCGGTCTGCGAAATCAACTTCTGAAGGTTGGAACTTGCTCTCTTGACACGTTCGCAACAGCAATACCCCCTCAACCCTATAAACCCTAAACCCTAAGAACTATCCTGTATCAGGCATGGAACACCTTCAGGTGTCCCCGTTTTGAATTAACTTGCCCATCGACAGGAAGAGCAGCAATCAAAGAAGTTCAGGCAGCTACCCACGCTAGGTTTACTCAAAGCACTTCTAAGCCGTCTTAGCCTCATGCTTAACCCCAAGCCCCGAAACTTCGAAAAGGCAACCACAGCCAGGCCTGGCGGCTCTCCTTTCGCAGTTGGCGTTCATCCTCCTTGCAAGGAGCAGGTAACGTAGCGAAGGCAGGGCATCAACGATGCGCAGATGATTCACTGTCCACTACTAGAGTTTGGAAGCGATATACTTGGATTGAAAAGTTACCTTTGGCTGAAAAGGGGAAGCTTGGGCTGTGATGAGGTTTTGGGTGATTTGTGCGTTGGTGTCCAATTAAAAGGGGGCCTTGTCGGATACTGCTGCAGCACATTTGGCTCATTGAACAAGTGAGCTGTGGAAACCAAATGGCGATACCTGACACTCTGACCCACTTCCCCAAACGAACATGGAACCCACGAAGTGACGCTTTACAGACCGTGCCCCTTTCGCATGGGCTCCATGCTAGTTTGGACTATAGCATTTTAGGGCATACACTGGGGTTATACACAGGTTATGTAGGGATAATGGAAAAGAAAATGGAAACTACTATGTTATGTAGGGGCTATATTATATTAGATATATATATATTGGGTATGACTTCGCCTGCCGGCCAGAAGGAGTCCATGCCAAGCAAGATCGGGCAACCAAGGGCAGCCGAAAGCAGGGCTATCATTACCTAAAAAGCATAACTACGGTGGATACTAAAATTCCTGCATGACCCTAAGTACATCATAAATTGTGAATAATAGGAGTATTGTATGTTAAGGTCATGCAGGATTTTTAGTATCAACAGTAGGTTGTCATTATTGAGTTGCATATCCTCACGGTACCTCCCAGGAACGATCCTGAAAGACTTCACGGACGCAGGCTTCTGAAATGTCCCGGCACCCATCTCAAGCTCAAGCTCTCAAGGAAGTCAATGTTCGCAAGCCCTCGGGCACGTGCCTTAAAAAAAATGAAATCCTAAACCCAGACGCGAGAACTCCTCAAACCCACTGCCTAGAACCCTAAACCCACCTGCGTCAGGGTTGTGGCCTCGACGGCCCGGGGCGGCCTCGAACCGCCCAAGGCCTCATGGACGACCTGCCAAGCATTGCGAGATGACGAGTTCGATTTCAAAGTTTTCTGGGTGTTTTGGGGGTGTAGGGTATTAAAGATCTTGGGTTTGGGTGGATCTGCGCGGCTTAATGATTTTGATTTTATGGGGTGGTTGTTCAATGTTCAGTGACTTAGGACTCGTTAAAGAATCCGTGGTAGTGGATCATACTCATACTCTTCATCATGCTTTCCAATATGAAGCACTTGCCTCTGCAACAGAGAGAGGGTTTCGGGCTGGATCACCTCGATCTTGCTGGCAGCGAGATGTCATTATAAATCTGATGGAGTTTCAGGAATTGCGGTTCAATGCTGCGGTCAGGATCTTTGACTAAAATGCTCAAGATGCTACTCAGGTTAGCACACAATCGCAAGTCCTACAATCATCTAATCAGCCCCCACAACTTGCAAGACCGCAACCCTTAATACCCAATTCTAGGCCCTTCAACAACCCCGACCCAAAATCTCACATCCTGAACCCCATAACTATACAATCCCGGTTTCCATGTCAATGTCCGTTGATCCGCGATGTTTCTCCCTGCCAACAAACAACTAAATCCTATCCCTATACGCCAAACCCTTAATATTGTAGGGTTTTCATGTTCATCTACACATAAACCCGCAACAAGCTTGAGCCATCGGACCGTGTAGCCAGCGGCTTCAAGGAGTTCGGCCTGGCGATCTCGGGCAGTCCAGGGTTTCAGGACTTGAGGACTTTGGGTTTCGGGAATAGGGCTCAGGGTTTGGGGCTGGATTGGAAGCGTTCTGCACAAGTCTTTATGGGGTGCCAGGCCACGAATCTTCTTCTGATTTCCAAGGTATGTATCGTGCAACCGCACAAGCAAAAGCCCCTCCAGAACTTGGAAAAGAGTGTTCCGGAACTGTACTAAGCAAAACTGAAAATACTTTTCGCGACGCTACTTGGAGTTTCATGGGACTTCGTCACTACGAACCGCTAGCTTAGCCCCCTACTCATAACCGCCTTAACACGCCTCTTGCGGTATGCCCAAGTATGAGGGGGCCATACCGGCGTTTATTTGTGGTGATACAGCCCTGCAGACTTCCTCCCCAGTCTTGATGCTTCATCGACTGCAAGCTTCACCCAAGCTGGTCTTCCGAACCCCGGACGCGACATTCAACCTTCAAGCCTCATCAGGTTCCTCTATTGGACACCTCAATCCAAAACCCCACACCTGCATTGGACATCTGCATACTAAACCCCCTAAACCCAAACCCTCAGTCCTGCATGAATCCTAAATAACACCACTTCCATACCATTTCCCATGTGATTTTCCATTTGACTCCCTGAACAGGACCCGACGTCCACGTGGCCTCACTAGGGGCCGCCATATCTGCCACGAGGGCATCGTCGCCCTCTGTGCCTGGTGTAAGATTTTGCGTGCTGGGTGCTTGATTAGGTTCCGCTAGATACGGCTTGCGTACGGGGGCCCCTGCTTTGAATCGGAACAGTCTGCACCAGTGTTTTACTAACATGCCCTGGAACCATGAAACCAAACTACCTGGTGCTTCGCAGCGATAATGTAGAGATCCTTACCTGGGTATCTCTGCCACGCAGCATGCAACGATCCATCGTCCCGAGACACCGTGCCGGCACTGAATTTTGAAAATGGCTCGCTTGATGCGTTGAGCCTTGGCCGCCATCGTTGTTGGCTCCTCTGGCAAGCGCTCTGGACCTCGGCACATCTGAGTTTAGAATTACACCTGGGATTTTCAGACAAGACCCCCCTTATCCCTGCAGCACCCCAAAGTGGCCCTCATTCGATAGACCTGACATGTGGGGCCAGTTGCGGATAAGGGGGGCATGTTGGACGGTTAGCATTGAAGCGCTCACTGCTAGACCAAATATCTCGGTATCAGCAATCTCTCCGTGTGCACTTTGTAGCTGGTTGGTTGAGACTACGGCCGATTCAAGGTCGGCACTAGGCGCCTTGGACGGAACCAGGAACCAATCACTACTCAGTAGTCCGTGCACAACCGCCAAGAGTAAGTTGACCCCTGTAATCCCTATACTCAAGTTTTAAGCCCCCAAATGTTTCGAAAGTCCCCAGGAAGACGCCCATATACCTTAAACCCTAAATGGTACTTTCCTTTTCTTCTCCACTATCCCAATATTACCTTTCTTCCCTATAATCCCGACCAAGCACCGGGGATTTTCTCTCGACACTCCCGTAGCTCCCGGGGCTCCGCGCTCCGAGAGCTCGGCCAGGTGCGCTTCCAGCCTCCCGATTAATTCCTGGCCCGGAAAATAGAAACATGGTGAGGGTGGGGGTTCCTGTGGCTGTGGGCATCTGGATGGGTATACTGAGGCTTCAGGATTCAGAGTTTCAGGGTTCCAAGGTTTGGGGTTTAGGGTTCAAGGCTTGAGGACGCATTGTGTCCTTCAAAGAGACTCGAATCCTCGATACCAGGATTCCTTCACAAGACCCCTTTGGCTTGATTCCTACATTTCCCCCCAAAATGATAAGTATGGAATCACGACATGGCAATTGGCACCTGCAGCCAGCCATTGTAGGCTTCCGGGGACTGCAGGACCTGCGCTAGCTTCCATTTCCAGCCGGGAGGGTCTCTCAAGATAGGAGACCCACAGGGACTGCAGTGAGAAAAAAGGATTGTAATGTAAAACGAGATTATGTCATAGGAGTCCACAAGGAGGGATATGCTGGGGGATGACTTCAAGAAGCCCACATTTTGCTTTTGTAAGAGGACCGAAAGGTTTGGGAGTTGAAACTGTAGGGTGTAGGATTTGGCGGTTTGGGAAAGTTCAAGTAAGTAGGGTCCCAGTTTTACAGGTTCGTAGGGTCGGTGGCTTACAGGGGAACTCACTCTAGAGCTTAGAAATGGCCACAGGTTGGGTACTCTGGCTTGACCTACGTATGTGGGATTTGCTGAGAAATGGGGAGTTTCTAGCAACCTCGGGGATATACAGGGCAAGGAGAGATGGGGAGTTCCTTTTGTGGATGTTACGGTGAATTGCTTTGACGCGTTCCCGAACATTGGGCAGCTCGGTCTGTCTTTAACATGCCTCCAACTCGGGAAGCCAACTCGGTCTCCTCAAACACTTAAAAACATGCCCGAGCCCCTTAAATATTCAATATAGGCTGCAGATAAAGCTTCTAAGGGGCAGTTGATATACGAGGGTGGCTGAGTCTTAGGAAGCGATCAGTCGAACTTCCCCGACACTTGCTGACAGGAACACAGTTGCCCAAATCTACGGACCCAGGCTATGGGAATTCACTGCTGATCTCCATCGAATCCCTACATAGGAGTTTCTCAGACCCGTCCCCGCGCAAGGGTTTCTCAAAAACCACCCTATACACTGTCAATATCTGTCTCATCAATCAACCCATCAATCAAATCGATCAATCAAATCAATCAATCAAATCAATCAATCAAATCGATCAATCAAACCAATCAATCAAATCAATCAATCAAATCGATCAATCAAACCAATCAATCAAATCAATCAATCAATCAATCAATCCAACGGAATTAATCGTACATCAACAGCTATAGGTCTCGGAGTCCCTTTGCCTCCCGGCGCCTCTTGAGCCCTTGGGAGAAGGTAGCCAAGGCGAGGCTAAGCCTCAGAGAGAAGAGAAGGGCTTAGGGTTTAGGGTTGTTTTTTTACAGAGGGTAGCGGACATTTATCAGGCCAGCTGGCTCACTGGGCCGCTCCAATCTCAGAAAACCCGACTAGGTGCCACGGAACACATCCTTCTGGGCCAGGGTTTAGGGTTGAGGGTTTAGGGTTTGGGGTTTAGGGTTTCGGGGCTTGTTGCTGATACCCTCCAAGCCCTGACATGGAACAGCAAATGGAAAACCGCAAGGATAATGAAACGGGCACAGTGCAACGCAAGGACTTCTACTAATTAATAAGAGGATTGTGGTACCCCCAAGGATCCTGCAAGAGTCAAAGGAAAGTAATAGGGCATTAAATCCTCATTTTGGGCGCTGGGGTTACTAAGAATCCCTTGCTTTTAATTGAAGTTTAGAGTTTAGAGAGGTTTGGGTTGATCACGGCCGGTGCGCTGAAAACACGGTTTCACAGTAGGCTATCAACAAAAAAAACACCCCGGCCCTTTGTTGACTGCGATCCTTTCAAGACACGGCTGAGCCCCTGATCTGAGAACTCACCCAATCAAGCAAAACTTCTGTAGCACGGGATGAGTTATGTAGAGAAAGTGAGGATCCCAGGATCCCAGAGCCCCAACTAAACAGAAGCTTAATAAGGGGTTTACATGAGGAAAATCAGGAGCCCAGGATCTGAGATAAGGGTTTCATACAGAATCTGCCACTCGGAACTTAGGGCTTTACTAGTACCAGGTGGGGGGACGGCTGCATATTGTACTCTCTCTATCTATATGTCGAGGCTGCTTTCCTACTTTTTGTTGTAAAAAAAATACATGTGCACTTACACACGTGTATATAGTTGATATGCTTGTGTTCATATGATATGTATATACATATGTACAGACCTATATACAAACATGCATGTATACATGCGTACACACTTACGTACCTCTACACATCAACATCTACAAATACATGAGGCTGTATACATATATACGCACATGAAGAAGTATGCAGAAATATATACCCGCACACATGAATGCGTACACAAGTGTGTATACACAACCTGCATATCCACGTATGTAAATAGTCTTACCATATACTTAACTATACACAACTTTATGTTTGCATGTGTATGTATGCGTATGTACATACAAACGAATGTATATACCTATACAGAAGATTTGGTAATATTAGGTACATGTAAACCTCAGCCTAGACATTTCGACTGTCCCAGCTACGGCAAGTCGAGGCACGAAACGCGCGCGCCAAGTCCTCCGGGACCCCCGGGCGCATTCCGCGTTGGCCCTGGTCAGCAGGCTGAAGGGGTTTAGGGCTCTAGGGTTTTGGGCTACCAGGGTTTTTGGGTTTGAGGTCATGGGGTTGTAGCGTTACATAGTGAAGGGTTTGGGTTTGGGGTTTAAGGATGTAGGGTGCAGGGCTTTCCAGTGCAGGGCTACACGGTCAGAAGCTTTCGCCACAAGATTGGTTCAACACGGAAAGGGGGTCCTTTCTGAAGATTCTGCTAGCTTCTCCAAGAAATGCGTCTTCGAGTACAAGGTACAGTGGCAGAACTGGTTGCACCTTTTGCAACATCGACACTTCCGCCTGCGGCGCTGGGGGCTTCAGGACTAGCATGTTTGGATCCGAGCCGGGACGAAAGAAGGTGAGCAGAGGTTCTTGGTCCAACTAGGGCAGGCTGCTTTTGAAGTTGGCCATGTGCCTGGAAATTGCGTTGGTCAGCTCGAGGTAGTTGAAGTTGTCGCCGAGCTCCTTCATCGATTGCACGA